ACCCCATGCAGCACGTTTAACTCGGCCAATTGCCACTCCCTCTCCATCCACGTGAGTTCTCTCAAGTTTCCCCGTTGGTGACTCAGGCTAGGAATCCCCACCACCTCTGGTTCCTTTTTCTTATTCCTTTACTTCTAGTCTCTGCACTTCCCAGTTTAGGCCTGTTGTCTAGGTGGTTTTCAAAGTGGGGAATGCAGGAAGATTACTGGGGTGCAGGAATAAGAGAATGGAATTAAAAAAATCCTTTTACAGTCTATTTTTGTTTTAAAATGTGTATAAGTACCTTAGTGTATATAATTCATTAATGAATATACATATGTTGGGGTGCGTGTTTCTAAATTTTTTATTTTTATGATAGCACTATTCAAATTGAGTATGGGTTTTCCTGTTTGTTTTAGCCAAAGGACCCTTTGGCTAAGTGAGATCTTACTCATTCATAAAATGTGAATCAAAAGCAGGGTTGTTCTGGTGGGATGGAGGCGGGGCCTGCAGCCCTGCGCCCTGTGCCCTGCCTGCTCACTCCAATGGAGGCTCCTGAGGGCCTTTTTGATGTACATTTGGAGACACTGGCACTAATCAGTGTGGTTCAGATCTGACTAAAAGTCTGATCATCTGAGACGCGGACATCAGTTAAGCGGTCCCTAACGTCCTCACTCTTCCAGCACATTCCTTAATGAATATACATATGTTGGGGTGCGTGTTTCTAAATTTTTTATTTTTATGATAGCACTATCAAATTTGAGTATGGGTTTTCCTGTTTGTTTTAGCCAAAGGACCCTTTGGCTAAGTGAGATCTTACTCATTCATAAAATGTGAATCAAAAGCAGGGTTGTTCTGGTGGGATGGAGGCGGGGCCTGCAGCCCTGCGCCCTGTGCCCTGCCTGCTCACTCCAATGGAGGCTCCTGAGGGCCTTTTTGATGTACATTTGGAGACACTGGCACTAATCAGTGTGGTTCAGATCTGACTAAAAGTCTGATCATCTGAGACGCGGACATCAGTTAAGCGGTCCCTAACGTCCTCACTCTTCCAGCACATTCCTGCACACGGAGTCAGCATCACTCCTGCGTGCAGGGGTCACGTTCTATTAGACCATTTCCCCACACCTTGCTCCTTTCTCGGCCAGGCCTTTCTTTGTAAATATTTGTCTAAAACTTGTTGGTTCCATCTATGTCTGGGAGAGCAGCCTCTGTTCTGTTTGGATGTGGCCTGCTCAGAGTTTTTCCTGACATTCCAAGTGCGGTTCTTAAGTCCTGGGGTTCTGTGCAGTCACAGGGGCGTCTGCAGGCCCAGGCACTCTGCGGTGGCCCTGCAGTGCTGTCGCCTCCGCCGCACTTGGGTGTTCCCCACAGTTGCAAACCTGTGAAGGAGACAGGGGAGTAGGTGGGGATGTGGGGAACCCGGAAGTTTGTCGTTGGAGCTCAGGTAGTGGTTGTCCCCTGTGCTGCCTGGAGCCCAGAGGTCCAGTAGGATTAGCGCTGACGAGCCTCAGTCTGTGACCAGGCCCCCTGTCACTCCTGACGACTGCCAGACCCTTTCCTACTCTGTCCTGTCCTGTCCTTCCTCATGCCACAGGCTGGTGGGAAGGTCCAGGGCCTTACCAGCCTTCTGTACAGGTCCCACCGTCCTTTTTGATCTAATGTCAGTCCCATCTCCACTGCTTTCCTTGGTAGAAGGGTCCTGATAAGCTGGGTGGGGAAAGTGTCTTGAGACCCTATAGTCGGAAATAGGCCGGACCTTGAGCCAGAGTCTTAGGAAATCCTCTGGCCTTCCTCTCGCCCCCTGGGGGCTTCAGGTTCTCTGGGTGGCAACAGCCTCGCTTCATAATTCCCCCCCCCCTCCCGGTGTTCTAAAGCAGTATAGGTTGTAGAGGAACAGAAAAGTTATAAGGAGGACAACAAAATGACCCTGTAAAGGTCATTTTACTTGATACTGAACATTTTAAAGCGTTAATCTTACTGACTTTTCTGGTCAGATATTATGTCCATGTATAGCTTCATAATAATGTAATTGAGATCATAATATACAGCCCCCCAACTTTTTATGATAAACATTTCAAATGTAGAAAAGTTGAAAGAATAAAAACCGGTGCCGCCTCCTGTATTCAATAGCTGTTACTATTGTGCCGTAATGGCTTGTCCCACCTGCATTATTTATATGCGTACTGCGTACGTATTTGCCATGTTGCTGGAAAGTAAGTTGTAGTCATAAAGCCACTTCACTTAAAATACACTGACAGCTTCTGCTAAGGAGGATGGCCTCCTCTATAAACACTACTGTGATCACACCTAGGAAAATAGGCACTAATTCCATAATAGCCGCCAGTCCTCGGTCCATCTTCATTTTTCCCTGCCTATCCCCAAAATGTGTTTTATAGCTTTTCCCCTTTAAACCAGTACAATCCAAACTAGGGTCACACATTTGGAAGTTGTGTTTCTTTAGTCTCTTTTAGCCTAGTGTGCCCCTCCCCACTGAAATTTTTTTCATGTGAGCCATAACCTTCAGTGAAATGCACACGTTTTAACTGTACAGCTCAATGAAGTTTATATATGTAAACTGTAAACCTTTGAATCCTGCAGTTTTCACATAACATAGTGAACAGTTCTCTACATCATTTAATACTCACAAACGGGATGATTTTTGGCCACTTCATGGTTTTGTAAACAGAACAGATGTCGGGGCGTTAGCTTTTCTCTTGTGCTTGTGAGGCTGTTCTGCTTCTTCGGTCCTATCTTGGTCACTCTTAGTTTGGCCAGGATGCAGACAATATCTGTGCTTTGGGTTGACACCATGGTTCCTGGCAGGGCCTGAGGATGGGGCTCCTGGGGTTGATTTTAATTGTCTGCATTGGCTTCACGTTGCTCCGATTTGCTCCTTCCCTGAGGTCACACTCATGGCAGCTGCCAGATCCCCGTAAATTAAACATGACTATAAAGGTGGACTAGATAGCGGTTTATCTACACTGAGCCCTGAGCTGGAGCTGCCAGAGGGAACAAGTGGATGGGCACCTGGTGCACCGTCTACCAGAGCGTTCCTGGACTGCTCTGCACGGTCTCCAGGGCCTCTTGGAAAGCACTTCTGTGTGGGAAGAACCGAGAAGGCCCTCGGAGGGGCTGTAGCTGGGGATTGCTGTGCCCACACAAGGGGAGATGTAGTGATCCCATGAGGCCCTCATGTGGGGCTGGCACAGCCAGGCTCCTGTCAGTGGCTCCATACGGGGGCCTTTTTTTTGAACACTTACCAAAGAGGGGCATCCCGATTATAATTTCTCAGACTTCCCTCACTTGGGGGAGCACAAGGAGAAAATCTGGGCATCAGTTTATTGGGGATTGGCTGCTGCTTCTGGCCATGATTGCCCTCATTCATCATGTTAGAGTTATGGGGCTTCCCTTACCTTCTTTTCTTGGTTTTTTAAATATGTTTTTATTGATTTCAGAGAGAAAGGGGGAGAGAGAGAGAGAGAGAGAGAGAGAGAGAGAGAAGGAAACATCAGTGATGAGAGAGAATCATTGATCAGCTGCCTCCTGCACACCCCACACTGGGGATCGACCCACAACCTGGGCATGTGCCCTTGATAGGAATTGAACCCGGGACCCTTCAGTCCACAGGCGGACGCTCTATCCACTGAGCCAAATCGGCTAGGGCTCCTTACCCTCTTGACTTTATTTCTACTGGGAGCAGCTAGTGTGCTATGCCATCTTCTTTCGATGATTTGGGGGAACTGGAAAGTGTGCAACTTGTTTTGTGAGCAGTTTTTTGTGTTCATTCAGCGTGTGTCCCTTTCTTTTGGGAAGATGTGCCCAGAGGGGATTTCCTTTGTAGGCAGTACTGAAGCCCGATGAAGTATATGCTCTGCTGTCTAGAGTAATGAAGAGATATGCCTTGTTATCTAGATGAGGGGTTGTGAGGGACCAGATAGTAAGTATTTCAGGCTTTGTGGGCCTCATATCTCCATCACATATTCTGTTTTTCACCCAACCCTTTGAAAATGCAAAAACAGCCCTAACCGGTTTGGCTCAGTGGATAGAGCGTCGGCCTGCGGACTGAAAGGTCCCAGGTTCGATTCCGGTCAAGGGCATGTACCTTGGTTGCGGGCACATCCCCAGTAGGAGGTGTGCAGGAAGCAGCTGATCGGTGTTTCTCTCTCATCGATGTTTCTAACTCCCTATCCCTCTCCCTTCCTCTCTGTAAAAAATCAATAAAATGTATTTTAAAAAAAAGAAAAGAAAAAAAAAGAAAATGCAAAAACAATTCTTTTTTTCTTTTACAGACACAAAGGTGGTTTTTTAATTAGAAAAGAAATAAGCCTTATTTTAATACAACGCCACCATTTGTGAGCACAAACAATTCTTAGCTCCCTGAGTGGGCTGGATTTGGTTCATTGCCAGCCCCTGGTCTAGACTCAGGTGTTACATCCTGCAGCTGGGACAAGGCTTCATCTTGGACACACTCTGCCTTCCTCGGAGGCAGAGCCAGCAGGGTTGGTGAGCCCGTACCAGAAAAGGCAGAGAGCCCACTGACCTTTCCAGAGGGAGCCGGAAAGTTCTGACCAGAGGCAGTGATCTAAACACTCATAGCCTTGGCATTTCCCTGTTTTTTTTTTGTTTGTTTTTTTTTCTCTCTCCCTCTCCCTTCCCTGTTGTTTTTTATCCTTGTTTCCCTTCAGTGCAAATAGAGAGAAAACTTGAAAGGTAAGGACTCAACATGCTGACATTGGAGGCAGCAAGTAGCACGGTTTCTAGGCAGGGTTTCTCTCCGCTGCCCTTGGGCAGAGGGGTGAGGGCGGGCAGCTGTCCGGCGGGGAGAGCAGGCGGACTTCTGCGCCAAGCGGGAGAGCAGAGACCCTGAACGGTTCTGGCCAGAGAAAGGGCTGCTGCAGGCAGGACTCCCCGCACTGTCACCCAAGTATTGACACTTTATTGAAAATCACTTCTGCCCTTTGCCTTTATCACCGTAGGGTCTTGGGTTTAGTCCACACCTGGGACCAAGAGTCCTGGCTGAGCTCATGTGCTCCCCGGCAGAGCCGCGGATGTGCTAACTCCTGCTCTGCTTCCTTCTCTAGAGACATCTGAGCAGCTGACCCCCGAGGAGGAGGCTGAGGAGACAGAGGCCTGGGCCAAGCCCCTGAGCCAACTATGGCAGAACCGACCCCCGAACTTCGAGGCCGAAAAGGAATTCAATGAGACCATGGCCCAGCAGGCCCCTCACTGCTCTGTCTGTATGATCTTTCAGACTTACCATCAGGTGAGCCCACTCCATCCCCTCTGTTTGCCGAGGACCAGCAGTCAGAGGGAAGGAGGTTTAATTGTGGGCACACAGCTTGTCACTGGCCGCCTTGGGAAGGCACGCTTTGCTGGTGTTCTCCTCCCTTCCACGTGCCGGTCATCGTTTGTGGGCAGATAACCCGACCATGCGAGTCTTCATGGGAGAGTGCTTTGGAGAAGAGCTGATGATGGGGCTTAGGGTGGGGGTGCCCCGGGCACACACACTGTTTGCAGAGGAATCTGCTCTTTCGTCATCATTCTAGTCAGTGATTATTCCTTCCAGGTGGTTTGTAGTCCTGACCAGTCAGCCTGGAGGATGAAGTGTTTCTTTACTCTAGTCTGGATTTCAGATGAAAAGCCAGATCCTCTCCTTTCCTGTCCCATTTCCACAGTGGGTATTGGCAGTGGTGAAAAGGAGCTTGGGAGGGTAGGAGCAGAGGGCTTATGGGGGAGAGGGGGTGGGGAGGTGCTGAGGCTGAGCTCGGCTGTGCCCCTCCCGCTCCTGGGCATTTGATGGCTTCACCGTTATGGGTCTCTCTGGATCCAGCTCTCGGAGGCCAGGAAGGCATCCACAGCAGCCTGTCCCAGGTGACCAGCTCCGTCTCAGCTGTGACCTGCCCAGGGTGGCATGTAAATAACCAGTCTTCCGATGGTGGTTAAAGTGGCATGGCTGCCACTGAGCCTGGCAGGGTGCCAGGTTCATGCTTGCCAAAGAATGGAACTTCAGACCAACACATTTTGGGTTGAACTCACTGCTTCTTTCCATTGACGAAAAGCAAAACAAAAAGGTCTACGTGTGCCCTTGCCTGTGAGGTGAAGTGAAAGGCCTGCTGTACTGTCAGCAGATCCACCGAGTGCGGCTCACTTTCATGAGTGGCGTGGGCTTAGGGATGACATGTTTCTGGGTTCCATCCTTGCAGTGGGGGTGATGGTGCCACCCAGCGGCAGAGACGGCAGATATTCGTAGTCAGGATGTTTGCCAGGAGAAGTACGCGGACATAATGCTTTTCTGAAGGGCCCCCAGGCGGGAATCGCAGGCTTCCCTGCAGCGCAGGTGACCTGAGGACATGGACCACCCGGGAAATCAGTGCTGGCCCGTAGGGGGCACCTGCTCTGGGCGAGCTGCCTGGGTGGGGCTACTGTGCGGTGCAGCACATAGGGGAGCCCGCAGTAGCAGCCTTGCTAACGTCTCGGTGCATTTTATTACCACTTGGTTTGGGAAGATTGAAATCCCAGTTGCCTCTTACCTCGCTCCCGTTTCCCAGTTGTCCCTGAGGGGCCTTTGTTTGGTGCTGCTGTGAGAAATTGAATTTGAGTCATTAGAGGTAACTTCAATTAGCAGCTCGGGGATAATGGCTGTGCACCCGGGAGCCACAGCCACAGTCATATCAGTGAGAGAGCCAGCTTCCTGCTGACGGAGCAGGTGGAAGCCCAGGGCGCAGGCATGCTCACTGAGGTGTGCTCTCGCTCTCTCGTAGGTTGAGTTTGGAGGCCTCAGTCAGAACTGTGCGGATGCTCCAGATTTAGCCCCCCAGAAGCAGAGGACCAAGCCATTGATTCCAGAAATGTGCTTCACCACGACTGGCTGTAGCACGGACATCAACCTCTCCACCCCGTACCTCGAGGAGGATGGCACCAGCATCCTCGTTTCCTGCAAGAAGTGCAGTGTCCGGGTCCACGCCAGTGAGTGCCTCACCTTTTCCCCGTTTCCGGTCCGGGGGGCGTGGGCCTGCTCGTCGAAAGTCCTTGCCTCCATTGGCTTCTCCCCCAGCCTCTCCGTGGCCTCCCCAGTCCCCCAGGCTCCCAGAGCAAAGATTGCTTGTTGTCCTTGGGGAGTTGGTTATGATTGGGTTTGAGTTTCCTGTGACTCCGGGTCTGTGCTTTCACAGCCGGCTCTGTGCTGGCCTCTTGGTTCACTTACTGGGAGGGATTTGTCCTCACTCCTCACTAGGTGTTGGAACCAGTGAATCTACAGTTTCTGACCGTTTGAGGCTAGACCTGAGGGGCCTTGCTGGAATTCAGGGGTTTCTGTAAAATTTGGTTGTAGCTTTGGGACGTGCTGTGTAGAATAGAGTTGCAAATCTTCATTCTGACTCTGGCCCCCGGGTTTCATTTGCTCACCTCGGTATCCCTGGTAGGTTGCTATGGCGTCCCCCCTGCAAAGGCTTCTGAAGACTGGATGTGTTCTCGATGTTCAGCCAATGCCCTGGAGGAGGTGAGTGCGCCCACACTGTTCCTCTCTTCCCTGTGAGACCTGGGGCCCGAGCAGGGTCAGACTATTTCCTGTGGACTTCCTCTCCCCAGCAGTCTGCACGGGGCCTGGGACACAGCACTGTTAGAGCGAGGATTCTCAGAGTAAATCGCCATGATAGTGAGATGTGTGCTGCCCGCCCATGGCAGGGCCTGGGTGGAATCTGGAAGCTGTGTTTGCTCTGTGGTGTCAGGACCAAGTAGAGGTCCTCCTGTGGACGAGCCCTAACCCCCTTTAAAGAACTTAGCCACTGGGTTTGAGCACCAGAATGGGGCTCGGATGGTTCAGTTTCTAGCTTTCTCTTCATCACCCCGCCCCACCCCCACCCCCAAACCTGGCAGTACCCACATAAGAGGCAGTCAGAACCCCACAGTGCCTCTGGTCTGAACAGGGTGCCCTTCGTGCCTTTGCTTATAGTTGTTGTTATTAACAGTAACAGCAAAGAGGATTATGTTAAGTCAAGCGAATACTTGGTGCACTTTAGCCCCGAGTGGCCTCTCCGTCTTCCTCCGGGGAGTCCTGGTTACAGGGCTGCGTGGGCGAAGCCCACATGACACTTGGCTGCTTTCTTATGTGGAGGCTGCAGCTGCCCAAAGGAAGTCAAGGGGGAGCAGACTGGGTGTTGATGACTCGGTGGTAACCATCCCCTCCCCTCCCTTCTTGGCAGGACTGCTGTTTATGCTCATTACGAGGAGGAGCCCTACAGAGAGCCAATGACGACAGGTGAGCTTGCAAGAAGTGTCTGAAACGTGCAGTTCCGTGGCAGCATGCGAGGCACTCGGGCAGTGGCTGCTCATCAGAATGATAGGAGGTTTGGAGCTGGAGTAGCATCTTCAAGACTAATTTAGAAATGAGATGCCGGGGGAGTCAAGAAGTCCCCTTTCCAAGTCCATCTTCCATGTGAGGAAGAGCTGTGAGCAGCTCCTTGGCAGGTGCTAAGATGATCGCTCGAGGCCGAGAGGATCCTGTTGAGATGGTTGCAGGGCTTTGTGGGCTGGAAGTGAGGGCAGTTATTTTGTTGTGGCCGGGCCGGTGCAGAGGTGCCGCAGCCACGGCTAGTGAGCGCTTTCCACAGGCAGGCTCTCCCTCCTCACACCTCCTGTTCAGAATGAGGGCGAGTGTCCTTAAGGAGGAGAGGGGGACATTGAGGAGAGCTCAGCCAGGACTACTCACTGCTGAACCAAACCTACAGAACTTTTTGGCCTTAGCCCGGAGCTGGGCTGCTCGGCTGTCAGGAGCCCATCTTCACTGAGCTGAGTCTTTGTGCTTGGTCTTCACTTAGTTGTTCTGAGTTGAACGGGGTTTGGTGCACGCAGGTTGGTGGGCAGCCGTGGTTCATACCCTGCTTCTAGCTAAAATCCTGTGGGAACCTGGAGCAGCATTCTGTCCAGCCTCCTGCCGCACAGGAACCGCCTTCGTGCTGTTCAGATGGGCGCTGCTCTGCTTGCTGCTCCCACTCCTTTAAAGGCACTTGCTGGCATTACTTGAGGTCATCATGTTCCTCACAATTCCAAGATAGCGCCACTAAAGTCCTTCCGTATTTGGAGTGGAAGTGGCTCGGCTTGAGCTTTGCACCTTTACTTTATAATCCCTGTTCGGCCCTGTAGGGCCATGCAAAAAAATCTGTTCCACTCTCATATAATAGCCCTGTTACAGAGCAGACAGCTCCTTGTAGTCCCAACTACCACTGACTGTGGTAGGTTTCCACCTGGCTGATTGTAAGTGCTTTCACCATCTTCATTCTCATCTTCGGGCACGACAGTTTCCTGTAATGCCCAGAACTTACTTCACCCTCTGAGGATGTCTGTTGAACAGACCTGTCGAGTAAGTGGGTGCTTGGACCAGACCTTAAAGAGTGAGTCTGCTGTGGATGAAGGGAGCAGAAGAAAGAGGTCATTTCAGCCCAGGGGAGGGTTTGAGCAAAGGCTGCAGGGGAAAGCTGTGAGTATTGGCAGATGGGGGCACAGTTGGAGATCATTTGAGGAAGCACCCAGGTCTTAAAGTAAAAGAGGTGTAGCTAGAGCTCTCTAATTTATTCTCACTTCCCCAAACCTGCCACACTCAATCAGCTCTGCTCATTGTGCAACAGATTGTGAGCGCGTTAGTGTAGAAGAAGTGCAGCCCCGTGCTAACCCAGGGCAGACCTGTTTCCACACTCATTGTGGAGACACTGTGGTTCTTACCTCACGGGGTCCCGGGAACTTGCTGGTGGAGTTGGAGGTCATGTTGGGTGAGGGCGGAAGCACCATCTGCGGGCCAGCCTGCGGTGAGGAGGCCGCAGGGCGCTGGAGCCAGACGTGACTGAGGTAGCCTTTCCCTTCTGGCAGGTGGGTCCATGTCTCCTGTGCTGTGGCGATTCTGGAAGCGAGGTTTGTCAACATCGCAGAAAGAAGTCCAGTGGACGTGAGCAAAATTCCCCTGCCGCGCTTCAAGCTGGTAAGGAAGACAAGATGGGCCTGCAGACTCCACATCCTCACTCTGTTTCCTAGTCACTTAGCGCTTCTGAGGGCAATCTCTGCTCGGCCAGTGGCCAGCCTTTGCCCCTTGGTTATTTTATTTTAATTTTATGTTTTTTATTTTATTTTTTTATTATTTATTTTTATTTTTTTATACCCCTTGGTTTTGGCCAGGGTTTGTGATACTCACCCTGTGGTTAAAGTACTTGATGAGGACACCCAGAATCAGACATGAGATCAAGAGGGTGTGTGCGCCCCCCTGTTTGGGAAGGAGGTTGACTCCTGCTGGCCTGGCTCTGCATTTTTGGGGCGGGGAGAGATAGAGGAGACTGCATTGCTAGTTCCTGGGATCATCAGCTTGCTTCCTGTGTCGTAGAAATGCGTCTTCTGTAAGAAGCGGAGAAAAAGAACTGCCGGCTGCTGTGTGCAGTGTTCTCACGGCCGTTGCCCAACTGCCTTCCACGTGAGCTGTGCCCAGGCTGCAGGAGTGATGATGCAGCCGGATGACTGGCCTTTTGTCGTCTTCATTACCTGCTTTCGGCACAGGATTCCTAATTTGGAGGTGAGGGAGGGTGCCATTCTAGAATCCTCTTGACAGTTTCCAGGATCATTTTCTCTGCAGGCTGTTCGCTTATTGTGTCAGCAAATATTCCTCAAGCTTTGTGCTTTATGAAGAGCGCTAATGAGGAAGGCATTAAGAGATGGCCCCCGTCCATCTCTACTCCCTGCCTGGCGCTTCCTAATTCAGTGGCACCAAACTGCTTGTGGTTGATTCATTCTGATCATCTGTTTACTTGTTTGCCTCTCCTCCAAGATAAACTCCTTGAGGTCCAAATGTTATTAATCCGAGTGTCCCTACTACTTAACACAGTGTTGGGGACATAGCAGAAGCTCTGTAATGTGAACCGATGGGGAGCACTTCCAGCAGTTGACCATCAGCTACCATACAGTGGAGATTTTGAACTTCTCTAAATGTTGAAGCTCAGAGAAAGGTCCATGTAATTTTAGCTAGAGGAATTTCATGGAAGAGTGTGGGTAGAAAGTAGTGTTTGAAGTGGGTCTTAAACAATAAGTAGTAATTGGGAGTGGGAGGGCAATCCAGGCTTCAGAAACAGAACAGGTAAGTCTCAGGAGAATGAACATGTAAGACTGGTCCTGAGCCCCTGGCGGGGACAATACTGAAGGGCAAGCAGCTCTGTAGGGTGAACGCTGGGACTCTGTAATGCCATTAGACGAGGAGAACTGTTCCAATATTATGATTTTGAGCTACATTTTAAAAATTCGTCAGTCTGGATAGTTGTGGATTGAAGGAATAATAAGACTTTGAGTCAGGGAGATAGACCAGTTAGCCTAGGAGAGACATGAGGTCTGAAATGGGAACATATAGGTAGAGCTTTGGGGTCACATCTAACCCTTTCCCTCTACTGAAGTCCTGTTGGCTGGCTGGATCCTCGTCTTTCATAGAAGCATTTTTTTCTGAGCATGAGTGGTGGTCTGCGGTTAGTTAGAGGCTTAGGAAGATGGAAAAATAGTTGATGTAAGAATGAGACTCTGGAGGAGTAAAAGCCTGAGGTAGCATTGAGTCCTGGCTCTGGGAGGGAAGTAGAAGTTTTGTTGTGAAAGGGTAGTGATTTTGTGATTATCAGTTGCACTTACATCCTTAAATGGGTGGCCTTAGGCTGCTGATGCTGTGAGAAAACGGGGGTACTGTTGAGTATTTCTTTTATTAATTCATTCTTCACATATTTATTGGGCATGTACTACATGTCATGAAACAAGGAGACTTATATCCAATGGGAGAAGTACGATGGATAAAATTGAGGCAGGATGAGGGGAGTGGAAGAGGAGGTCGTGAGGAATGGCATCAATAAGTTGACATTTGGATGTGAGGGAACAGCATGCATATAACTGGGGTAGAGGGAACAGCAGTGCAAACACACCAAGGTGGAACATGCTTGGCACATGTGCTCCGCGAACAGCAGGAAGACCAGCATGGGCAGTGCATGGGCAGTGTGGGGAGGAGTGGACACGAGGCCACAGGTGCTCTGGGAGCCCATTTACGTCAAAGACGAGTTGAGAATGAGAAGGGTGATGTGCAGGTCCCAGAGACGGCAGGGCACTTGCACTGGAGAGCCACTGTCGTGTGCAACCGAGGGCGTCCAGGGAAACGCAGTGTTTGTGCCCTCGCGGCGAGGCCGAGCTAGTGCTGAGGTCTGTGTGGAGCACTGTCGGGGGCCCTAGGCCTCGGATCACCTGCTGGATGCCTACGCTGATGTGTGCTTAAGTGGTGTGTGTTAGTAGGTGCTATTTGGTCAGTTCCTGTCAACAAACAGGGAAGTCAGAGGAGTCTGTTCAGGGAGTTTGGGGTAAGACAGTATGGTATGAAGATAGTTGTGGACTAGGAACTAGAAAAGAGCTACATTTATACAGGCAATTAGGATATTAGTCTCTTCCATTGTCCTAGCTGGGGTGTAGATATCTGGAAAGACCTGTTTCAATTCTCATCTCTTACTCCTGTTTACTGTTTCATTCCTTTGCTATCTTTCCCTGGTAAAGAGGGACCAGTTGATTTTGGGCCCCATTTGCCAGACCTATCAAGTCCATGTGGGAGTAACTCAAGCCTCTGTTTTTCCAGCGTGCCAAGGGGGCCTTGCAGAGCATCACCGCAGGCCAGAAGGTCATTAGCAAGCACAAGAACGGCCGCTTCTACCAGTGTGAGGTGGTCAGGCTCACCACCGAGACCTTCTATGAAGTCAACTTTGATGATGGCTCCTTCAGCGACAATCTCTATCCTGAGGACATAGTGGTAACTTCTGAAAGGAGCCTCTTGGGCAGTTTGGGACTGGGGTATTTCTGGGTCTGGCTGGGAGACTGGTTGTGGGCCTTCCTTTTTTAGTCAAACCCACGGTTTCATCAGTTGGGCCCAGAACAAAAAAAGCCTTTGTACTGTACTGGTCTTTCCATGCAAATGAAGTTGCCTGCTGCTGGGGGACCGAGCGTCCTCTAGCACAGAGGTGGGAATGTCTGGCCTGCGGGCCGCATAAGGCCTGCGAAATCATTTGGTCTGGGCCTGCCAAGGCTTTAGACGTGAGGTAATTAATTAAATGTTTGACAAAATATAGCAGGCTAATTTTTTAAGTTGATAATTTTGTATGGCCTATGAATGATATAAATATCCAAATGGCCCTTGGCAGAAAAGGTTCCCTGCACCTGCTCTAGGAGCTCATAGGAGTCAGCATTTTCTGCATTTCTCTGAAACATGCTTGTATTTTGGTCTAAACTACCCTTGAAGGCATTCTGCTGTGAGGGGGCCCAGGCTCTGGGATCAGGCCTGTGTTCATGAACCAGCACCATTGCTTAGTAGCTGTGTGGATTTGGGAGAATTAACCAGCTAACTCTCTCTCTTTTTTTATTTTTTTAAAATATGTTTTTATTGATTTCAGAGAGGAAGGGAGAGGGAGAGATAGAAACATCAATGATGAGAGAGAATCATTGATCTGCTGCCTCCTGCATGTCCCCAACTGGGGATGGAACCTGAAATCGTGTACTCTGATCAGGAATTGAACTGTGACTACCTGGTTTATAAGGTTGACGCTCAACCACTGAGCCACACCTACTGGGCAGCTTTTGGGGTTTTATAGCAGAAGGTTTTGGGGCTGAGCAGAAACTGCTTGGAGACACCTCTGGCCTGCTTATCTCATCAACACCTGAGACACAAGCCCTGCCTGGACCCAATCCCAGCTTTCCTGGCTCAATATTCAGGACTTAGTTCAGGTTTCCCCTACCCCTGCCTTGCTTTTTCATGTGTTAAACTAAGCATCAAGGTAGTGGGACTGAGCCACTCCTTTTAACAAATCGGGCATTTTCCCCGTTTATGCCACATTAGCAATGCAGTTACTAAAAGCACATTTATTAGTTATAACAAGATAGAAAAGATGATAGTAACAGTGTTTATGGGAATAAAATAGGTATGATTTATTAAGCTCTCCAATGTGCCCGGCAGTATGCTAAGTGCTTTACGTCAAGTGTTTCTGTCAGCTCTCATACCCACTCTGAGAAGTGGGTGGTATTATCTCTAACTTAGAGACAGTGATCTCGGGACTCTCCCTACAAGTTACTGAGGACCTCAAACAACTTGTGTTTTGTGGGTTATGTCTATCAGTATTTACTCTATTAGAAGTTAAAACTGAGATTGATTGGTTTGAATTAACCTATAATGAAAAATAACTTTCTTTTATTTATTTTTTTTAAAGTTTACTTATCTTTCTTGTTGAGGGTAAAAATAACTTCCTTTTAAAACAAAAATATTAGGAAGAATGCCATTTTTCTATAATTTTACAAATATCTTTAATGTCATGTCTTCATTCCATTGCAATTTATTGCTTTGGTTAAAATATGTGAAGAAAATTTAGTCTTGCAGACAAATGGAATTGGAAAGGGGAGGAGTATTTTACTAGCCTTTCAGATAATTGAATCTGAAAGCAGGTCAGTGAACTTTGCATGTCTGTTACATTAAAGTCCATTGGTCTGTCTGTACTGAGAATGGATCTCTCACCTGTGCATGATTTTATAACATTATACATATTGGTGCAATGGGCTCTGCAGACTTTTCCAATGTTAAATTTTCTTATACACTGTCAAAATCACATTCATTTGTATAACTAATCTCAGAAAAATCTTTAAATTTTGGGAAGCTTCAAGCTCAATTTGGTGATAAAACTTTACTGAAATTTTAATTTGTGTTTGAAAGCTTAGATTTTTGTCATTGGCAATACTTGATACTGTCAGTTGTTTTCTTTGAAGAGGCAGGTTCACTTCATTCATTTTCAAGATGTCTGCCAATACCCAAGTCTGAATACGTTTGTAACCGTAACCATAGTTAGTTGCTCTGTCATTTTTTCAAGTAAAGCTTATGTTCCATGCAATGAGCAGCTGCTTCAACTCACAACTCAAACAGTTACACAGTATTTTCGCTTAAGACCATCATCATGCCTCGGCGTGAGCAAGTGCCTTGAGTATTTCCACAGGAGCAGGAATTCGTCCTGGTCTGTTCTTTCCTGAGGTAGATGGTGGTTACCACTGTGCTCAGATGGACATCCTTTCACTCTTTTCTCTTCCTGTTCCCTCAGAGTCAGGATTGTCTCCAGTTGGGTCCTCCTGCTGAAGGGGACGTGGTTCAAGTGCGGTGGACAGATGGCCAAGTCTATGGAGCCAAGTTCGTGGCCTCCCACCCCATCCAGATGTACCAGGTAGCCAAAGGCTTGGGGGTTGGGAGAGTACCTGATTAATTCAGTGTTTCCTCTCGGGCCAGAGGTGTGTCTTTGCTCTTCAGAGAGCTGAGGGACTCAGGAACAGCCCTTTCAGAGCTAGGGGCTGCCCTGTGTCCAGTCTGCCAGCTGTGGCTTCAAACATGGCAGTCCTTCAGTGTTCTGATTGCTTCCCATGACTGCAGGAAATGGCCAGTGTGCATGGTGGCCCAGAGAGAGAGTCAGGGATATCTTAGCAAAGCCTGTGTTTCCTTGGTAGGTGGAGTTTGAGGATGGCTCACAGCTGGTGGTTAAGAGAGATGATGTATACACGCTGGATGAAGAGCTTCCCAAGAGAGTCAAGTCTAGACTGGTGAGTGTGTTCTGTGTGCCCTTGGTTCCTGACGGGGGGCGGGGAGGGAAGGGAACAAGGCAAGGATGTGCCCTTTGTTTTTTTCTCATGGTGGTTGGCCACAAAGTGCTCATTTGGCTTGCCTGTTCTTCTGTAGTCAGTAGCCTCAGACATGCGCTTCAACGAGATTTTCACAGAGAAGGAGGTTAAACAGGAAAAGAAACGGCAGCGAGTTATCAACTCAAGATACCGGGAAGATTACTGGGGGGGAGGGAACAAGGCAAGGATGTGCCCTTTGTTTTTTTCTCATGGTGGTTGGCCACAAAGTGCTCATTTGGCTTGCCTGTTCTTCTGTAGTCAGTAGCCTCAGACATGCGCTTCAACGAGATTTTCACAGAGAAGGAGGTTAAACAGGAAAAGAAACGGCAGCGAGTTATCAACTCAAGATACCGGGAAGATTACATTGAGCCTGCACTCTACCGGGCCATCATGGAGTAGGTGCTTCCAGGAGCCAAGAGATTCCCAGCCACCAAGGCGAGAACACTCTGGAGGTTCCACAGCACAGCAGACCCTTCGAACTCTGAAGTCTCTAAAATGAAGTTGTAAAATGCAAAGGAATGAAATAACCAACCCCATCGTCTTCTCACCCCACCCTCATCGCATTCACCTCTAGTGAAAGGATAAGCCGTTCTTGGACTTGTGGCAGCAGCCGCTGAGCTCCCACCGAGGGGCTGAGCACAGGAATGCTGTGGCTGCATGGTCTCTAATGGGGTCGACTCCGCTAGCTGGACTGGTTGCCCTGTTCTCGGCCTAGAACTTAGTTTCCTAATGATCACCTGCACCAACTAGGAAGAGGTGCTGGTGCTTGCTCCCTCCCTTCCCCCTTTTGTATTTATGTGTGTGTGTGTATGTGTGTGTGTGTGTGTGTGTGTGTGTGTGTGTGTGTGTGTGTGTTTGGTCTGGACCAGCTTTTGCCAGCCCCTGGCCTTTACTTCCTCCCTTTGCCTATCCAGGGCAAACAAAATGTGAAATTCTGCCCTCAGCTGAGCTGAATAAGGGCCCCTGGGGTTGGCTGGAGATGGGTGTGGCGTCTGTCCCTTGAACTGCCTCAAGGGAATGCTGGCAGAGCTGCAGTGTTGCGATACTAAGGAGCTAAGGCCACCTCTCTTCTGTCCCCTCTTGAAGAAGAGAGGGGTCACATGGGTGTGTGCCCACATCTCTCTAGACACAGAGCCCCTGTGGCACAGTATTAGAGGGTGTGGGTGGGGAATACCATGCAGGAGGATCTTAATGATGGAAGCAGGCAGAGCCTGGTGGTGATTCGACAGAAAATTGCAATCAGTGTGGGAGCTGGGAGGGTTAAGATGAATTGGGGCCACTGATGGCCAGGGGCAGGTTTGCCCCTGGTCTGGGGATGGGAGGGAGTGGATATGGGGGGGTGAGGGTGGGACTGGGGGGCAACACTGAAGGGGTTAAACAGGATTTTGCTCCTCATGAATTTGTTTGCCTGGGCCCAGGATTGGAGGGCTTCACACCTGTACCCTGTGTATACAAGAATCAGATTTATAATATTTCCCTGGTTTTTGTTACTTATGAACGCTATAAACCAAATTATTTTGAAAACTGGTGCATCACCTTGTCCTTAGCAATAACATGTCTTGAGCAGAAGATTGGCTGTGTCTGCCCCCAGGAGCCGGAGTGGCCCAGGGTCAGGCTGCGGGTGTGTCTAGAGCAGTGGTCGGCTAACTGCGGCTCGCGAGCCACATGCAGCTCTTTGGCCCCTTGAGTGTGGCCACGAAGTTTCAATCGCACTGTACGTGCCCGCCCGCACATGGTATTTTGTGGAAGAGCCACACTCAAGGGGCCGCAGTTGGCCGACCACTGGTCTAGAGGCATAGGCTCTGGCGCAGGGCCAAGTATTAAGAAGACTCAGTGTGGAAAGATCTAGGAAGCTGTCCTGAACATGGGTTCCTCGTCAAGTTCTGGTGCTGTAGTGTGGTGGGACGGGGACAGAGGCACCTCTGGCCTGAGTACCCGTTGTTTCCCCCACTTTAGAGGTTGGAAGGAGGAGGAGTAAAGGAAAGACCAGACCACCACTCAGCCTGTAGAACTGAATTTGATCTCTCGCTTCTGGCTCATTCCTTTGAGCTGGTCAAGTTCATCCCAGAATCTCTGTTCCATACAAACTGTGGAGCCAGCTGGAAAGGGAGTACATTTTAGGTGCTAGAAGAGCAAGGGACTTGACCCCCAGAGGAACCCCAGGGGGGTCTTGAAACTGCTCTGAGCTGTCTAGTTGGTGAGAAGCTTCCCCGCAGGAAGACCTGGTCCCTGTGCCTGGTGGGCCCCTGAGGTCCAGGTGGACAGGGAGAGCACAGCAGCAGGCCAGGGAGGCGCGGGGAATAGGTGCCGGACCTGGCACAGCACAGCTGCTCTCGTTGGTCCCTGGGTGGCCTCTCGGTTCCATGGCCAGTCCAGGTGCAGGAGAGGCGTGGGTCAGCTCAGCAATTCTCAGTGCTTCTCTGGTCCTGGGGCTTGGGAGGCGGCTGCTTCCTGGGGTCTCATTCTGGGGCGAGGAGCAGCAGGTTTCAAAGACACTATTCTATGCCAGCTCCCGGAGGTTGGCCTTTTTGTGCAGCACCCAATGATTCCCAGGGGTCACTGGTAAGATGGGCAGAGGCCAGCCTGGGGAGCAGTACCTTTGGAGAGGAACACTTCCTCAGACTTGGCAGGGTCCCACCACCTCCAAGGCCGCCTTCCTTCGAGCACCTGCATAGCTGGGATTCTTGCTCTTACCCAGCAGAGTTCTTATCGATTTTTCTAGAAAGTTTATGCTTTTTATTTTGGTCAGCCTGGTAACGACGGGGAAACAAACGATTAAAGGGGTAATGAGATTTTATTTAGATCACACACAGCCTGCAGTCCGGAACTCCCTCACTGTGCCAGCCTGTCAGGCAGGCTCCTCCTCCGAGGCCTGTTTGCCAGGGCAAACTGCCCTCCTTTTAGGATTTTTGGGTTGGCAACCAAGGATTGCAGCCGGGCGGGCCGTACCACTTCCCACCTGCCGGCTGAGGGGGAGGAGTGGGAGAGGGCTAGGACCTCCAGAGCTGCAAAAACTAAACGGACTGGGACGGGACGGGGCGCAGTGGTCCTGTCCCCCGACTGAATCTTTTTGCGAGGCTCTGAAATTGATGGTACTGAAGCGCAGCTTGGGAACCCCGTCCACTCTCATCCCACAAGATGGGGCAGGGTCGCCCAGCCCCTGGAGGTCCAAAGCCTCGGGCCTCGGGAAACACTGGCAGCGTTCCTCTCCACGCCCGTGGCCACCCGGCTGCGCCCACCGCGCGGGTGAAGAAACAGGCCCTGGGGAGGCTGG